ATTGTTGTACCTTAAGGACGTAATTACAAGTTTTGCGTCATTATATACAAACGTAGTTAAGCTAATGACAATACAGATTTGAAGTAGTTATTTACAGACGTAGCTACTAGCTAGGTTAGGTTAATCACATTACAAGTTTTGCATAGTTATTTACAAGCGTATATAGATTTACAGACAATGTACAACATAATTTATCTAGGTGTGTACAGGCTTCTAACTTTGATATTTGCTACGGTATTTATTACAAATGGGGGGGGTGTTTAAAAATAGGGTTATCTATCCCTTATTTTCTATATTTTAGCAACACCACATCTTCATAGATTCCAGTTTGGGTTTCTGTTGTAATTTGTATACATTACTTCCAGGTTTCACTGTTGTAGACCTCATTTGAAACCTGATAACAGAACTCTCTTGGTTTGCTGAAGCATTTCTGTCTGGGGGAACCAGTTTAGAATTCTGTTCTGAACATCACGGCAGGATTGACGGGGTACAGCCTACAGGGCGGCATATAGGAACATTAACAGAGCTGTATTCTTGTACAGAGTCAGTATACTCTCCGAGAACCTCATAACCCTCATCTCTTGGCACATCAGGACATTGAACTGCATATAGGGCACCTCAGCATATCATTGCAGACAGGATTGTTTACAAGGTTACATTCTCTAACCATATCCGTAGAGCACTCTTGGACAGTCTTAATCTCAATCTCAATAAAGCCACCTCTTTCAAAGACAATATTGCACATTTGCTCAGGAATCTGTCTACATTGCCGCACATTCTCAACCTTGCACTTACAATACAGCACTTTCAGCTTAACTACCATGTAGAGCTGGTCACTCCCTTTAATCTTTTGTTACGCCAAGCTAGATTTTAATTTCAACCATCATCTTAATAAGACAAAAATGCAATACAAAATAATACCAATATCATGACACAAATATTCCATAAAATTTTGTATGCATGTAGTATGTACATATGGAAATTGGAAATAGACCAATCATAACTATTAGACAGTGGTATTTGAAATTAAACAGAATAATAATTGTTTTATCACTTTTATATTGTTTAAAATGTCATTAAGAATTTTAAAACTTGTCCACTGCTGTCCCAGGCAAAGTTATTGAGTGTTTGCCACAAACACAAAAATTTGAATTCCTATATCTTTGCAATTTGATGATGTAAATCTTTAATATTTCAAACTATGAATAAATAATCTTCGTTTGAGAAATCAAAGGTTTGCATCATCAGATTGGAAAGATATAGGAATTATAAAATTTGTGCTTGTCGCGAAGACTCAATTCCTTTTAAGAAAATATGACAGTTAAGATTGTATATAAATAATCAAAAGAAAGGCCTAAGACGACAGTTAATATGTGTTACCTTGAAACAGTATCAAGAATGAGTATGGTGGTCAGGGTTAATTATTGTTACCTTGAAACAGTATCAAGAATGAGTATGGTGGTCAGGGTTAATTATTGTTACCTTGAAACAGTATCAAGAATGAGTATGGTGGTCAGGGTTAATTATTGTTACCTAGAAACAGTATCAAGAATGAGTATGGTAGTCAGGGTTTGTGCAACTGCCAGGGCAACTCCTACTTTACTGGATCCACTGTAAAACTTCTTTCTGTAAATCTCAAGTATCAAATATTAATAATTAATTTTTTCAAAAAACAATAATAAAAAATGAGAATAACATACTTATTGGATTAATAGAAATATGAAACTATAGGTGCACTTCTCCTAAGATTGCAATTCCTTTCGATATGGAAACAAAAAAATGTTTGTCAATAAAAAAAAACTATTACTAAATTTAAATTCGATATCTATTTAAAAGATTTTGATAAATGGTATAAATGAATTATGACTGAAAAGGAATTTATAAACTGCCTTTTATCTTTTACTGAGGTTTTCATTTAATTTTGAAAGAAAAAAATTCTAATGGTTTCTGAATCTGAATCTAGCATGAAATTAAAAAGAAAATGAGGTGTGAGCAGGATGAAATATGTTACTTTTTCCCGTGTAAGAATTTCAAAATTATAAAAAGGCAAATCTAGACATTTTTAAAACAAAATGCTTTTAGAATTAAGTTTTACAAATAAATAATCTAATAGGAAACCAAATTAAGAAACAAGCTAAATAATAATTTTCATACACATAGTTTAAGGGAAAAAGAAAAAGTAATTTCAAGTTCTTCATTTTATTTCTTTTTGATATTTTCCTGTCTGGAACTTCTGGCAAAGTAGACGTATCCCCAAGCCTTAAAAATAATTAAAAAGTCTTTGGAGAATTAATAAAAAAAGTATTTATAAGAAAACTATTCTAACTTTTGTCTTTTAAAGATCACACACACAAGGGGGTTGGACAAAACTTTAACATGCCACTATTATTAATTTTCTTACATATTGATGGAATTTTCCAAATTTTTGCTTTTGTTGCTAAACATTTAGTGAATATATATAAAAAACTACGATTGAAGATAAAAAACAATCATATCTTCAGAATCAATAATTAATCCTTATTAAAGTCTCATCCTTTTCTTGAATAACCACACATTTAACATTTTTACTTTCGTTCGTTAATAGAACATTGTTCAGCCCTACTAACCTAGTTAGTTAGTAGAACATTGTTCAGCCCTACTAACCTAGTTCGTTAATAGAACATTGTTCAGCCCTACTTACCTAGTTCGTTAATAGAACATTGTTCAGCCCTACTAACCTAGTTCGTTAATAGAACATTGTTCAGCCCTACTTAAAAAAAATTTCGTCGATTTTCAAAATTTTCAAAAATCGAATTTGTTAGAGGCAAATTTTTGAAAATTCGATCATTCATCAACCTTTTCATGGGGTCACGCGAGGTCCCTCAAAAAATCTGGGCCAGATCAGTTCAGCGGTTTTGACGTTTATTGGCTACAAACAAACAGACAAACAAATTACAAACACCCAGACAGAAAAGTAAAGTATATAGATAGATAGAATAATTTTTTGCACCCGCCTCATTTTTCACGAACTTGCAAAAATAGACTTTTTTTGATAGATTTTATTTTCTCTAATAGAATTAGGAAGCCTTATTTGACAAGTCACTTTTATACAAAACTGCATTATTGCATATTTACTATTAATGTTAAAACAAATGAAACAACGTAGTTGGGATTTCACGAAACTATTCTGCACTTATTCATGTTTATTTAGCATTGCAGCAGTCCTAAGTATCCAATTATCGTGCATGTTGTAATGTAAATTATCTGTGCTCTGGTGTTCTTTGAATTAATTCCGGGATTTTCTCTAGAATATTCCTAGAAAAACTTGTTCAATTAAAAAAACTTGAAATTAACTTTTTCGGCTTTCACAAACATGGAAATTACCACGTTGTATCTGCAAACAATTTTACAATATATGTACATAAAAGTTTTACAATATATGTACATAAAAGTTTACAATATATGTACATAAAAGTTTACAATATATGTACATAAAAGTTTACAATATATGTACATAAAAGTTTACAATATATGAACATAAAAGTTTACAATATATGTACATACAAGTTTGTTTTGAATCTTCATGACAGAAACAATCTCAGGAAATAATAATTGTCTCTAAACATTCTTTAAAAGGTGAATATTTGAATATTTTTTTTTACATATCTATGAACGTTTCCTTTTTTACAGCTGACTGTCCTTTAAAAAAAAAACTTTTGTGTTTATTTATCTTCTTGTGTTTTTAAAAACATTCTTTTATTATTGATTTTGATGGTTATTATATCGTTTGAACTGACGAGGATGAACCCAGAAGGAAAAAAATATTTTCAGTAAAATGTGGAACAAACATCTGCTTTATTAACTCTATGAGGTTTGGTCCACCATCATCACTAAATTTGAAACAAACCAAGATGACAGTCCTGTATGCCAAGTCCATTATCGTCTGATCCAATCAGGGTTCAGTCATGTGTTTGTTGTCTATTCTGAACCAATAGAAATATGGCGGTAACATCTATCTTTCTATCTATCTCATTATCCAATTAGTGTTATGAATCATTCAATCGGCGCTATCAGTAAATGGAAATATTTACTTCAACTGAAACTATTGTGATGAAAGAAGTGTAGTGTAGTTATCTGAGCTGACCAGACGTGTCTTTGTGAGCTCCCGGATTAAACTGACCGACAACCCAACACCTGGTTAACTTATTCATGTGTTCCATATTATGTGAAAACACAAACACTCAGATAACTTGTTTAGTGCATTTATTTCCAGTAAAAAATATTTCTACTAGACTCAAAATGACTGACACAAAAATAGATGGTAACATCTATCTTTCTATCTCATTATCCAATTAGTGTTATGAATCCTTCAATCGGCGCTATCAGTAAATGGAAATGTTTACTTCAAATGAAACTATTGTGATGAAAGTATGTGAAGAATATTAAATAAACATGCATAGTATTTTTTTACAGTATTCTACAGAAAAAATCTATAACTTCCTACCCTAGGGGACATCTTTGAAAGGGCAATAGGCTCAGTTGTTTTCCTGATGTTTGAAATTTCTGAACAATCTTTTTAAAAATCCAATTTCATGGAACTTGAGAGTTCTTCTGTCAAGTGTGAAGGAATTAAAATTAGATTTTTGTTGTTTAGTTATTTTCTCTATTTTAGCCTGGAGCAAATTCTACTGATGAATTATCTCATGAAAATACCAGATTGTTGTACCTTAAACTTTATCACTCAGATGGTTACCTTCAATATAAAGGGACTGTAATTCAACCATGCTTTTAGGGCGCTTTGCGCCCATCTTCTATTTCAACTTTTAATCGTGGCCATATCTGTGATCATCTTCTCTTTGTAACAATATAAAATAAAAACAAACAAAAAAGTTTGCGGATATCAAAATATCTTTTTCGCGATTTTCCAAATTTTACACAAAAATAAAAAACTTTTAAACACAATTTTTTGAAAATTTTATCATTCATAAACCTTCCTTGGGGTCACGCAAGGTCCCACACAAAATTTGGGCCAGATCGGTTCAGGCGTTTTGACGTTTATTGGATACAAACAAACACCCAGACACCCAAGTTAAAGAGGGGCATGTCTGATTACAACGGTAACCTTTAAACCATTATATCTGATCAATAATGTGGAGTAATTTTTTCTATTATTTCTAACAATTCCTGCAAGTCAATGTGGAAACCATGCAATTGGGGAAACAATTCAGTTTTGACAGAGGAAAGCATGGATATCTCATTCGCATTCTTGATCATATACGGCTTTTAAGGGTAGAATCGGATAAACGACTCCAAAATGAAGGTTTAAGGGTAGAGTCGTGAATCAGATAAACGACTCCAAAATGAAGGGTGGAGTCGTGAATCAGATAAACGACTCCAAAATGAAGGGTAGAGTTGTGAATCAGATAAACGACTCCAAAATGAAGGGTAGAGTTGTGAATCAGATAAACGACTCCAAAATGAAGGGTAGAGTTGTGAATCAGATAAACGACTCCAAAATGAAGGGTAGAGTTGTGAATCAGATAAACGACTCCAAAATGAAGGGCCACTTGAAATTACGTCTACAGAATCTTTAATACGGTGGTAGGCGATTATAGCAATATATTGAAGACGAATTTTTTATTTACGTTTCGAATCTATAGTAGCACATCTTGTACATCATACAGTTTAGTAGTGTAGGACTTCCATCCCCATCTACTCGAAACTCTCCACTTGGTGTATAGTAATCCCATTCCTTAATGTGTGCACCTTCTGCAAGATTTTTTCGAATTATAAGTTTACAAGCAATTAAAGAGAAGCTTTTTTTAGTGACAACTTCTCTTTGTTTTCATGTTTTTGTGCATCCATACTGTTAAAAATCTTGGTATAAATCAATATTAAAATCGAAAGTCGTCTTCATTAGATTGATAAAATCCCCTACCACCATAGGTCAACCTTAAACGTGTCAAGGTTAGAGCAAATTTTTTTCGCAAAATTTCGCATTTTATCGCGAAAATGAATTTTGTGAAAGAAAGCAAAAACGATGCGAAATTTCTACGAAAGAAATACTAAAATAACATAAAAATTTTTATAGGTCAAACAACTGCAGAGATACTGCAGACCTAATTCCAATTAGATTGAAAAGAGCGAAAATATTTATCAATTGTGACCCCCCATAAATGAATAATGATATTTAAAAAAACACATTGCGTTCTAAGTTATCAATATTAACAAGCAATTATGGAGATAAACACAAGGATTAATTCTTAAGTTAACAGAGAAAATATTGGGTTCACTGACTGAAGCTGATTGCTAAATTCCTTACAGTAGTTAAACCTTAAATTTAATTTGAATACTTTAATACATATTTTAAAACTAACCTTATCATGCAGAAGCTTGAAATAAAAAGTGTTAAGTTTGAAAATGTTGAAGAACTGGGGCTGATCAACTAGTCCGTAAACAAGATTTTCATTCTACAACCAAAAATAGATAAATTAAAACATTTACAAAAAAACTATTAGAGGATGAAAAATGTAGGAAATAATCGGTTTGTTCGATCAAAGTTGGTTTTGCTGAAATCAATAAATAATGACCGATAGAACTGTTCGAAATCTAAAAATGCCTAAAATTAACTTGAGTTTATTTTTTTGGGGGAAAATTTACAATAAAAATAGTAGAATCGGTGAAATTATTTAGTATATGATAAAAGTGCGACAAATGTCTCAAAAAGTAATATTTATTCCTCCCTGCTTATGTTGAGCGAATGTTTTTTTATTTTCAATCAAAATATTGATTTATTAAAAATTATTAGATTTTTTTTCGAGGATTTTTATGAAATTTATTTTACTAATAATTTTGAATTATTTCATTGGTTGATTGATATGACCTGTTAGTTCCATGATGTACTTTATGCTGAGTTGCTGTGTTAAATATCAATTCTAAAATTAGTTTAAAGAAAATATAAAAATGTAATTAATCTGAATTCATAATCAAAAGTGCAATTCCAATTTTTAAATAAAAATATAAATCGCTAGAAATTAACAATTTATTCAGAATTCAAAGAAATCGGAGAATTTTTTTTTAATCTTTCATTTTATATTCTTTTGTTGGCATATGCGTTAAACATGAAAAAGTATAAATGACGCAGCTTTTAACTGTTGTTCAATTAAAGACCAAAACATAATTGAAATCAAACAAAAGAAACCGAATGAATCTCGCTCTCTGTTTATTTGTCAGTTCAAAGGGGGGGGGGGTGTACCGTGTACAGGGTGTCCCAATAAACATGGGAATTCAGTGAAGAATTCGATATCGTCTTTGTTAGGAATTAGCATTGTAATGCCTAATTTCAAAAGCCATAAAATTATTATGTTTGCTAGAGTTTATTTTATGAAAACGGTAAATGGCTGTAAAGATGTGTTTATAATGTCTCCGCAAGATGAACAGTGAACACAGACAAGTTAATTCTGAGGCCGAATTTAAAGAATTTAAGCCGCCGCTCAAATATGGTTGGTTCCACTTAAATTTGTATTAAATTTTTTAGGATTTAAGCCAGCGGTCAATTAAAACCGGTTTTTGGGGGATTTAAGACGTGGCTTAGATTCATTAAATTCGGACACTGTTTGTATACTGTAATTTTCTTGTTTTACTAAGTACAACCATATGCAATCAAAACATAAACAAACAAATTGTAAACATAGCAGACGAAAATCTTATGGATTTCAGCTTTCTCTGCAGGTATCACTGTACTACATCAATGAATCATTTTAAATGACGATATCGAATTCGTCACTGAATGTTTATTGGGACACCCTGGAGTTAAGCTTTTACCCTTCCCCTGAGACTCCATACCCTCAAAGTAAACAACTGCTTCTAAACCACTGCCTGCACTGGGGAAAAAACTTTTCGTCTTAATTTTGTTTACCTAAAGGTCCGAGGTTTCCAACTAGCTCAGTGTGAATCCAGAATTGATAAAGGAAGTTCAACTCTGAATGAACAAGCATCTAAAATTGTTCAAATAAATATTAAAATTTTGTTTAAGAAACGTTGGATTTTCAATTTATTTTAAATATTCACGAATGAATATAAAAAAGAAAATATAAAAATTAAAGTAAGAAATCTTGTTTGGTAAACATGTTTACACAAATTTAGGAATTAAAACCATAAAAAGCATAAATAGTTAGACTGATAACATTTTATGAAAAATGTATTTATTGATATGTTCCGTGTTTAATGTCCGAAATACTATAAATGATTATATGTATATAAAAATAAATATTCATACCTGAGGTGTAGGTATTAGTAGAGCACAGGGCAAGTAAAACCAATGAGTTATCCATCCTTTAAAACTTTACATTTAAAAAATCAAAACCCATTTGTTTTTAACAGAAAATTTTTTATAAAAATAGCAAGGATTTAATTCAAGGAAAGTTATTTCAGAAGTGTACGCATCTTTTGTACTGCAGTGTACTGGGCGATAATGTAAACACAAGACAGATGTTACAGCCTGACATGGGATCCATCTTTCACATAAATATTCGATGAAATATTCTGGTCATAGAAAACTATTATGTAAATTATCAAAATTATCAAAATTCAATGCTTTTAACCTCCTCAGATACTATACGAACACGGAGGCATCTATTCTTGTTTGCCCAGAGAGAGCTGGTTTCAATATGTACGCAGATTATAGGCAACTGCAATCAACTTTCCTTGCATTACAACCTTGAAAAATAGTATCGTTTGAAAATGATAAAGAACTAAGCACTTGTGAAGTAAAAAAAGTAATCCTAAAATCGACAAAATATTGTTCCAATCCTAATATTGAAGTCAAACCTTATAGAAATACCATGTATAGAAACCGCTACGTATAGCAACAAGGCGTATTTTCCGGGAGAACGTTGGATTTCTATAAGGTTTAACTTCCCTAATATTCACTTATAAATCGAAGAAGTTCTGACTTAGATTGCACAAAATTTAAATTTTTTATAGAAAAAAAAGAAAAAAAACCCGGCTTTTCGTGAATCCCATATCACTATATAGATCTATATGTATATTCCAGAAACAAAAATCTAAAATTTTTCTTATCCCTATTTATATCTTTACATCCTATCGCATTTTACTATACTTTAAACTATAATATCTGCTAGTTCAAATAGTCAAATTAAACAATACTTCAAACTATGAAATCTGCTAGTTCAAATAGTCAAATTAAACTATACTTTAAACTATGAAATCTGCTAGTTCAAATAGTCAAATTAAACAATACTTTAAACTATGAAATCTGCTAGTTCAAATAGTCAAATTAAACTATACTTCAAACTATGAAATCTGCTAGTTCAAATAGTCAAATTAAACTATACTTTAAACAATGAAATTCAAGTTCAAATAGTCAAATTTTGACATCAAAGGTTTACACCGTCATGTTCCAAAGATTTAGGTATTAGACATTTTTATTTTCAATCAATTTGGTTTTTATTTTTTTAGTTTATTTTGTTTTAATTTAGTTTGAAAAATGATAAATGTATTCCCTAATCCCTCTAGGATAGGTTGTCTGAATGCTGTGGTAAGATTGAACTCCTCACTGCTATGATGAACCTGGACAAAAAGTTAGAAAAATAATTAAGTTTTTCCAAGTCTGGGAAGAAATCATCAACATTGGAGTACTATTGGAGACCTACTTTCATTCCAACGAAAATCTGGGGTCTCCAACGAAAATCTGGGGTCTCCATCGAAAATCTGGGGTCTCCAACGAGAATCAGGGCCGAGGTCTCCAATGATACTTCCATGGGGGTCTGCAGCAATGATACGATCATGGGGTCTCCAATGATACGTGCATGGGGTCTGCAATGATACGTGCATGGGGGTCTCCTCCAATAAAAGTGGGTTACCCATAGTACTCCAATGATCATGATTTCTTCTCAGACTCATTTTTTCCCCGCCAAGTGTTCACGAATGTGGATTTAATCAAATAGATCCTGGAACTTTTATAAACTTTGAACCAATCAAGTTCAAACAAAGATAAGGAAAACTTTATACAAAACAAAAATATTTTAAGAAATGGAGGCCAAAAATGACATAAACTCTAGGGTAGGGTCATTTATGTAATTTTTAAAATTTCTGTTCTTTTAGTGCCTTTTCGTGTATTTCTTAGTGTCTGCAGTTAGTCCCTGGTTTAGTCATATTTACTATGTATATAAAGTCCCCTATTACAGTATACAGCAGTTTTTTGAAATTCATCCACTGGTCATATTTGTCCACTATATAGTCCATCAATCATATAGGTCTGTGCAGTCCTAAGTAGTAAGTAGTTCCTGGCAGTACTTGACTATATTTCATCTGTCCATAACTCATAATAGTCTTTTTGATTGAAGTCCCTATGTCCTTGTTTACCAGTAGGGGGCTTATCCCTGTTTTCCTTTTATAGTCTTTTTAAAAGGTCAATTAAGAATGACTGACTTTCTTTAAGTCGAAAACGAGGAAAAAAATTAGAAATTCTATTAGAAATGATGCGCGAGGCTCCAAAGAAATTTTTTTTTCTTAATTGACAAAGTTTAATAAAAGATGGTCCACAATCATGATCATGCTGGAGCAAAGTGAGGGGAGCGAAATATGCTGAGGGGGGGGGTCAAACTCGGTTCACCCCCCCACCCCTATGTGCACCACTGTAGATATTATCTTCTAAATTATGTTTTCAAAATAGTAACTTAATCTCACGTTTGTTAGATCTCGTGTTTTTATTCGATATCAACAAATTTGCCCTGATGATATTTTGCAGCCAAGGTAAATATTCCAAAATGTGGTATTTTTTAATAATATTCAATTTACAAAAATAGATTTAGCTATATTTTTTATATTTCTTAAGTTATTTCTTCGTTTTAGAAATAGTCAAATTTGATGCATGAATTTCAGAAAACCACTTCAAAGCTTTACTATTTAACATAAATTATAAAAATCTATTTCTGTTAAAACTTATTTCTATAAAATCTATCCGTTCACTATAGCTTTAGTAGAAGTAAATATTTCCATTTACTGATAGCGCCGATTTAGAGATTCAAATCTCTGATTGGATAATGAGATAGATAGAAAGATAGATGTTACCGTTATACTATTTCTATTGGTTCCGAATAGACAACAAACACATAACTGAACCCTGATTGGATCAGGCGCTAATGGACTCGGCATACAGGAGTGACTGTAGGGATGAAATTCTAAAATTGTATTCTGTAGAAGTTTGCTTTTATCAAACATGGACATTAACAATATAAGGCAAAAAAGATAGTTTTTATCCTTTTAAAAACCTTAAAACGATCGGTTTAAAACGATATTTTTTGTCTTATATTTTCTTCTAGAGTAACAAATTTGCATGTTTGAAAAGAGCAAACTTCTACAGAATAAATTTTTTAAATGAAACCTTCTCATATTGTCTTAAAACCTTTTAAAAGTTTAAAAACATTAAAAAAACTAATCTGGATATTGCCCATCCCTACTTATATAGTCTGTCTGCGCACTGTACACTGTAAATTTCCAACTTGCTTAACTTGCTCAAACCATACTATTCTGTACAGTGTACACAACTGATGGTCTGATTTAGGTGAACTTAAAGCGGGTTATTAAATACTACCTGATGGACAGCCCAGAGAAATCCTATTTCATGACTAGCTCTATGAAACCAGTAATAACCACAATCTACTGCTACAGCTGCTAATACCCAGACATATACTGAGTCCCAATTCAAATCTATCATAAGTTAGAATTAACATTGAATATAAAACTGCCATTAACTTAAATAAACTTATATTGTATGAAGCAAAATGTAGCAACAGCTTTTTACTTTACGACATTTTTCTAAATGAAAAACATCTTCCATAGTCAGAATCAAATTCTAGGTTATCAGCAAAGACAAATTTAAAGTAAAGCTAAGGAAAAGTATAATGATAAAAGTATGGACATAAAGAAAATCTACAAAGTTTGATCATTTTTCTGAATGTGTCGTAAAATAAAATAGTTTTTCAATTTTGGTAAAATATAATTCTAGAACTTCAATGGAAAGTCATAAATTATGAAGAACGTTTTGGTTAGACATCTTAATTCTATTTTGCGAGTAGGATTGAATTATTCAGCTTACAACATTTCTTACATTAACTTATTAATAGTTTAAATTCATTTTAGGTATAGATTTAATAAATGAATAATTAATTAAATTTGCCATTTTCTAATGTTTCTGTCAAAATAACCTTCGTGCTTGTGGTGCTTTGGAAATACAAGGTGTTTTATTTTGAATTAAACAAAATCATAATTTCTGCAAAATGATTGTATTTTGAGTGAACAATAAATAGGTGTAAAATCTACTAAATTCACAATAAATCCAGAAAGCAAGAAAGCAACGGCCATTTTTAAATTATTGCTCTCAAAGACACCTAGCTTAACCCTGACTCTCATGGGATGATGGTTGACCATTTTATTTATTTATTTATTAAGGATTCATTGAGGAATAAATTCCTTCCAAGGGATGGGAATAAAGATTTTAAAGATTTGTTAGAGATGGGTTTTTTGGTGGTTTATTTACCCAAAACTCTATAATGTTGATGGACCCATGAGTAGGTAGACAGCATAGCAAACTTAGAAACTAATAATTACACCATTTATTCTAATATTCAGCTTGACAGCTAGCTTATGATACTATACTGTTAACATGTTAGGCCTGTGCAATGTGCATAAAGGATCCGTAAGACTTATTTCAATTTAGAATAAATGAATTTTATCGGAAAAAAAAAATTTAATTCATTAACTGCGACTGAACTCACTAAAGCTCTACCCAAGTTTATGTTTATATGTTTATGTCTACCCGGGAGAAAAAAGTTTATGTTTATGTCTAGACTTAATTGATTTTGTCTAGCTGTTCTCATGTTCCCCCATTGATCATAGGCGCATTCTTCCTTTTTTTTATCAATTTTCTTTTCTATAAAATTTTTCTTTTCATCTGTTATCATACTATTTCCAATTTTGCAGTATTTTCATATTATGAAAGGTTTCGGAATCTAAAACATTTTTGGCGTTATCAGTAACTACAGGCATAGTTTTTTCTCTCTAGTTATCCCAAAGAGTTAGAATTATCACTCACAAGGTTTTTTTGTATCTAATATTTGAAGAAAACACCAAATAAAATCAAGTAGATATATACAATCATTTATGTAAGTCTTAAGATAAATTTGAAAAAAGTGGGTACCGGCTAAAAATAACAAATATAGATAATCTATTTTTTCAATTAGAGAGGGAGACCGCAAACAGTAATTTTATTTAATTCTGAATAAATGTGTTCCTAGTCCAGCCAGTACCATCAGCACCCCGATATTTACATTTGTCAGAGAATCCGCCATATTGTACTTTTTACCCTGTACAACCAGGCTTATCAGGGCCTCAAGTACAATCAGGAATATCATGTACGGTAGCGCCTGTACATTAAGCATTTACTAAAGAAGGATAATAATAATAATAATAATAATATAACGATAATAATAATGTTAACAATAAAAATAATGATAATAATATTAATATTGATAATTATAATGTTTACCCTATCTAAATGATCAGGACAATCTTCTATGCTGTAAAATGTATGTTTCCAAGGACTAACTGAGAATTAAAAAATAAGAATATTCGAATATTTCTAAAAATCAGGCTAGCAGACTTTACGCCTTGCCATGAACCTTAGTGTGCAACCTCAATAAGCTCGCATGCATATTACAATACAAAAATTAATACTTTTGGATGCGTGAAAGTGACATGAGCTGTAAGCTTTAGAATAACGTATATCGAGATTAATGCTTCTTCTCTTTTTCTTAATATCGAGACTAACCTAATCTTGTAATTTTATCCAGAAAAGTGTATAAAATTCAACCAAATCAGAGTCGCATATATGAAGTCGATAAATTTGAAAAACGGTTTTTTATCCAAGAAAGGACAGTTTAAGAAGAAAATCAAAAGTGTGTCCATTGGATACTCAGATTATGTAATCGGGATTAAGGATATCTCATTCTAAAGTTTTCAACTCAGTGCTGATATTTTATTGTACTTTCATTTTAAGATTGAATCTAGGAAAGTTACAAATGGGGTCAGATCTACTAAATTTGTACTGAACACAAAGAAATTACGATTTCTTTCCATAATGCATGTATATTTAATCATTGCAGAAATTACAGTTTTTTAGAAAGGTGAAAATGCTTAATATCAAAGAAAAATAAATTAATGAATAGTTTTTATTCCTAGATAGAAGAGAGACCCAACAGAGTCCAGAACATCGTCTTCAATACTAATGCTGACATTTACAGACATTTCTATCTGAAAATCCAATTTTTTAAAATAATTGTCCAAGTCTTTAGACATTTTCTGGCTATGATTTAGCTGCGACTCCTCGCCTAGCTAGTCTGCAAAGTCGCAGCTAAATCACAGCAAGAAAATGTTCATTGAATCGGACAAATAAGTCCAGCTAAACCTTTTTTACTGCAGTTAACCTAGACCATGCTCTTTGACGGATTTTTATTCCTCCAATCCTCAGTTCAACTCTAGTTTTCCTCAGGATCTAGGTCTTTGCAGAGGCGATTCTAACAGTACCAAGGAGTACAGGGAGACAGAGAAAAATGGCAAATCCAAGTTAAACGTACACACATAAGAAACTTAAGGTATGAAGGGAAATTGAAGAGGATAACAAGATAATCAACCAGGAATGTCAATATTCATTTGTCAACACTGTGCTACCCTGGAGAACGAAGTTTTTTGCCTCTCTGGGTCATTGCGATGGAAAAGCTCCACTTGCACTCCTTGCTAGGACATAGGGATTAACATATTTCAGTTTGTGGCAAAAACTCAATTCCTGTTGCATAAAATTGCAAAAAATTTTTTTTTTTCGGAAACGTTTCGTATAATTAGTTTTTTAAAATTTCGCATTTTTTCGGGATACAGATTAATGCGAAAGTTTGTGCATAGAGCTACCTTTTTTGCTTAAACTTTCGCGAAAAAATGCGAAATTTTGCGGAAATTTTCTTTCTCAAAACTTTTTGCAAAATTGTCGCATATTTTTCTCGCGAAATTTCGCATCGTTTTCGCTTCCTGTCGCAAAATTATTTTTAGCGAAAAAATACTAAATTTCGCGAAAAAGTTTGCGGTTTAAGAAAAAAAAATTTCGCGAACAGACAAACCGCTTAAGGGTACCGTTGTAAATTGTCATCTTTCCATGGAGGGCCACTTGAAATTACGCTTACAGTCTATCTAAGTTTAATTTTACAGAATTCCCTTTAAGATTAATTAGAAAATTGTTTGAATTGTAGAAAATTGTATAATGTTGAAATCTGGTAAATCAGGTGCAGAAGGGAAATGTGAAAATTAAATTTAATTCTTTTAACAATTGGGTTTGAAGTAACAGATGAAAATCTATAGTCTTGAAACTTTTCAATGAGACTGTTCACAATATTTGATCTATCCCAGTTTACACATATTAAACATTACAATTGAACTGATATGTTTTTTTAGATTTTGTCAGTCGCAGCACGTCAAACTAAAGTAAAGTGCAGGTAACATTGAAATTTTAAATGTTTTCGAACATAACTCCTTTAATTGAAAAGTTATTGAGTAATAAAAAAATGTTATTAAATTGCTAATAATCAAATGGAAATGCTTTTCTTATAATTTGCATTATATCAAGCCAGAGGAGCTACGAGGTCACATCGTCGTTCCATTGATGTCGCCTGAATTTTACCTTCCTGTTTTGTCATAGTTCGCTGTGGCAGAGAAGTGCAGATCTTTAGAGAATGATTTGGTAGAAAAAATTACGGGTTCCATGGCTAATAATGTAATGCCTTATCAACATTCCTCGTTCATTTTCCCTTTAATATTAAATTTTAATGTTCAAGGATTTAAGTTTAAATTAGTGGTAGTTAATACTGCAGAGAGAGAATTCAGTAAGGATTCAAAATTCAGCATTAAGATTAATCCGGTGAGGGAATACGGATAGGAAGCTAAAAGGGGCTGTTAGCGTAATTTCAAGTGATCCTCCAATGAAAAATGACTGATCAATAAGTGTTTTATGTTTTCCAGCAGTAGAGAAACAACAAATGAAAGAGATCCAATTCATACTTGATCAGCCAGAGCCTTTGATTGGATACCGTTGTGATTTGGGGATTTCCATCTTTGCATGGAGGCTCACATGAAACCACGCATACAATCCCTGAATTCAAAATAAAAAGATTTTGTTCGTGCTGAACTAACACCTGAAGAAACAAATTATAAAAAGTGTTAATAGATTTCTATTTTTAGAAGATATTGTCCGTTTCTTGGGTTTAAAGTGTTCAATAGATTTCTATTAATAATATAAACAAAGTTGTAATCTCTGTTTGTCAGTCTGTTTGTTTGTCCGATCATAACTCAGGAACCCCTAGACAGATTTGCCTAAAATTTTGATTAGGGAACTTGGGAGACCCACAGGAATGTTCTTTGGTTAGTTTTGAGATTCTAAGTTAATTTTCCTGGTTAAATCGCTCAAGTGCGGGTAAACTCTGCATATAATTGGATGAAGTGTGTGTCTGACAAGATAACAGGTTCCTATAATTTCTTCACTATCATCCTGACAGTTCATATTCCATTTACTGAAAACTTGAAGGCGCTCAATGGTGGAAACAGAATTAAGAAATGATGACACTCTAACAAGTAATTTGTTATTGTTTTTTTGCAGCCTCTTTATTAGAGTAGAAAAAGGTAGGTTCAAGGGTTTCTCAGAAATTTAATGAAAACCTTGAAGTGTCTGTTTATGGGAAGCATAAAAATATTAGGATTTATTTTTATTTTAAAAATTGTTTTCAAATAATTTACGATTCAAATAATGTCACCAAGAAGAAAAGTAAGAAAGGTAATTTCACCAAGAAGAAAAGTAAGAAAGGTAAATTCACCAAGAAGAAAAGTAAGAAAGGTAAATTCACCAAGAAGAAAAGTAAGAAAGGTAAATTCACCAAGAAGAAAAGTAAGAAAGGTAAATTCACCAAGAAGAAAANTAAAACTACAAAAAACAACAAATCAAAACAATAATAAAATCAACGACAACAATAATAAACAGTACAATAACACAAAGTAAAATTCGGTGATGGTGATGGATAAAACCTCTGTAGAGTAAAAAAGTAGATGTTAGTTCCACATTTATTGAAAATATATTTCGGTCTGGGTCGACCCTCGTAAGTTCTAACGATGTAATAACCATCGAAATCGGTAAAAAAAAATTTTAAAATTTTTATGCTAAAAATCACAAGAAAATAAAGAAACAAAAAAGATTTTACGGAGTGAAACTTTCTTGTGAGAGACATCAGTCGATTATAGCAGAGTCTTGATTCATCATCAAAGAAAACTAATCTCACTGTAATTTTGCCAGACAACATTTGTTGCATAAAACGTGCTGGGTCGACTCTACATTGGGTAGCCAGACTGGATAGTACGACTGGATGCATATTGTACCGGCTTGGATCATGCAACTTGCAGATTGGTATAATCTATATTTATTGTATACATTTCTGTAAATGAACTCATTTTCAAATATCATAAAGCACTTTTCTTGAGAATTAGTTTTTTTAATAGTTAAAGGCAAAATGCTCATCAATTTTTGCGCAACCTATGGATCACTGAAGTATACGGACATCAAATCACAATTTAAATTTTTTATTTTCTTAATTCACTCCTTCGTGGCCCACTATAGTTGCCCCCGCTTAATTCTTTATGCAATAGAATTTCATTTGCATAACACGCGCTGGTTCAGCAACATACTGGGTACACTAGAAGGGCTGGTACGAGTAGACACTAGGCAATTCATGTACTGGTTCGGTTAATGCAACTTTTGAACCCTCATGACTTTTAGAATCATTTGATAAGGTGTATTCTTGATTGGATTTAAGAGAACTTGTCTAAATAACCAATTATGAAATATTTTCAAATTGTAAAAATTATTTTCGTGATGTTTCTTGTAACCGTCATCGACAGATGTTCAAGTTAGGCTAAGTTTACACGGATGTATAATAGTCACGAAAAAAATAAAACCAACATTATTTTCGAAAAGTCTTCAATACATAGATACAGCTAAATCTACTTTTTTTAGAATTTCTTTTCGTCTTTTTTTCTGATAAAAGATAATACAGCTGTAAAAGTTTATATTGACATGAAATAAAAGTAGTAACATAGGAAATGGTGGTTTGAAAGCACGTTAAGTTAATAAATAAATAATATAATATCCGATACATAAATATCTAAAGCACGTTAAGATAATAAAATAAATAATAAAATATCTGATACTTAAATATCTAAAGCATGTTAAGTTAATAAAATAAATAATAAAATATCTGATACTTAAATATCTAAAGCACGTTAAGTTAATCAAATAAATAATAAAATATCTGATACTTAAATATCTAAAGCACGTTAAGTTAATAAAATAAATAATAAAATATCTGATACTTAAATATCTAAAGCACGTTAAGTTAATAAAATAAATAATATAATATCTGATACTTAAATATCTAAAGCACGTTAAGTTAATAAAATAAATAATAAAATATCTGATACTTAAATATCTAAAG